TCAAGTCAGTAATGGTGCGAAAAAGATACTGATTGGAAGGTCTGCAGGTTTGCTGTAAAGCCCATCCCACGGACAGGAAAGATGGCTCAGTGGGCAGAATTACTTTCTGCAAGACTGATGACATGAGTTCAATTCCTAGGGCCCACATGGTAGAGGAACAGAAATGACTGCAGAAAGTTTGTCCTCTGTCTTCTGTATGTGTGCCATGACATAAGCCTTGCAGGCCTGTGTGTGTGGGTGAATGTATGTGTGTTTACATGCCTACCCTTGTTCCCTATCCTAATTTCTCCATCCAAAGGGCTGGGATTTAATTCAGTGTGGGCATTTAAACAGGTATGCACTCCTCAGTAATCATAGTCTCTGAGTCTGAGTCTCTTAATTCACAGGTAAGGGCAAGATTCTGACTACTCACTAGCCAACTGTCTGAGGCAGGTGTCTGTCCCTCCTTTGGCTGATAGCATGGCCATGATTGCATGTGGATCGGTAATGATTGCATCACAACTACCAAAAGTTGAGAGCCCATGGCAGGAAGACCCTTCCTGAACATGGTGGAAGATACTTCTGTAGGAAGGCAGGATATGACAAGGTGACAAATTCATCTGAGACAACATTCTGGGAAATGGAAACTGTTCATAATTTTTAAATGAACAACTACAGAAGTTAAGACAGACCCAAAAGAAAACCTTTATCTGTTAAAAACCACAGGTTTGTTTTTTGTTGTTTGTTTTGTTTTTGTTTTTTAAATCTCTTCAACATTTAAGACTGCCTCAATCATAACCCTCATTTAAGATTACTCCCACTCATGACTTTGGAGTAGAACATTCCTAAGGGAGAAATCATCAGAATTCATAGCAATTTTTGTATTGCTACTGATTTTGAAGTATTTGAAAATGAATCTTCATGGTAAGTAATTCATTAGCAAAATACTGACCCAAACATCTTAACCTTAACTGTGGCAGAGAAGACACAGTTCTTCCTCCCTCATTCACACAAGTAGTGCTGTAAATGAGAAACTTCTCTTTCTTGGTTAAGATTGGTTTGTTAAAGCAATTTGTAATTGGTGGCTCAGACAGTACTGGTTGAAAACAGTATTGGTAGGCTGACTAGTTCATGGTTGTTTGGTCTCTAGTTAAGGTAGAACCAGCCTGCTCCTTATGTCTGGGGTTCTGAATGTTTGTAAAGGGTTCCTATTGATTTGTTTACAATACAGACTGGGTTTCTATTATGCTTATTAGTTCCTTTGGGGTTTATTATTGCAGATCTTAGGTGGACAAGTGGTTATTTACCAGGTAACATCTTTTGTATTTGTCATGCACCATCCCTTATTTTACACTTGCCCTTGATTAATAAAGAATTAGGAAGTTCATAAACAAACCTTGCTGAAATTTCAGAAATAGTGACATAAAAACATTCTCTTCATGAGTATACAAGCTTTTTAATGATGTCTCAAATTCTTTGCATGTAAAATGTTTCAAAAGGACTGTCATATTTTTCCCGTGTTTAAAAACCCAGTGAAAATAATATAAGCTATATTTCTCAGGCTGTTTGCAGTACTGATGCCAACCAGGTTTCCTCACTTAAAATCCATTAAAAAGTAATTTCTTTCTTCAGTATGCAATTGATTTATTATTTTGAGTGGAAGACATCTTTAGGTGCATAAATTTGTTGTTTAATAAGCTGTGTAATCTTTAAAAAATAGCTCTGGACTAAAAAAAAATTGATGTTTACACTGGACCCAGATGGAAGCAGACGTAGCTTAGTGAAGTACTCGTAGTGAATCACCGACTAACTCAGAATATCACAGGCTTTGAAATCAGGATACTGGAATTTTGCCTTTTCTCTTGTTTTTGTTCATTCACACCCTTTGTGGTGTGCTGAGACTCCACGAGTCACCCCTGCCTCCTTCACCTGTGTCCTGTTGCTCCCTCCCTTACTCGCAGTGATCTTTCAGGTGCCTGCTACTGTGCTACATTCCTGGCCTGTCTGGAATGGCCAGTCTGTCACATGGGTGCATTCTCACTGAGCCTTTCACGAATTTTCTTAATTTTCCTATCTTTAAATAAACCTTTTGTCATGCATAGTATGAAGATACAGAAAATATTTAGAGTTAGAAATAATTACAAATAACACTGGACCCCCGAGAATTTGTTTCAAATTTTTAGAGTTTAGAAGCGACACACAGGAAGCCCCTTAGTAGCAGGAGTCACGTGCTACTGACATGCATGGTGTCCTACACTGTGCTCTCGGAGTCACCCATGAAGACCCTCCCCCACCAAAAAAAACCCAACCAAACAGAAATGCTAAATGTTTTTATGTTTCAAAGTCTAAAATTAATGTTAATGTGAAACCAGTACTCAGCAATACCGGGACTGACATTATAGAATGCAGACCCTAGCATTCACCTTCCAACTTTAATGGTTTGTTTATGAGCAGCACTGTGATACTGGAGGAGAACGTGTTCCCTTGAACAAGCAAATAATCCAATTATTCTTTCAACATGGCCTACATTTTCAGTGAAAACTTTTTATTCTCTTCATAGTCCTCTTTGAGAAGAGTAGGTTTAGTCTGATGTCCTTCATGGGGTGTTTGTTTGTTGTCCTGTCTTCTGGTTCTGTTCTCAACACCCACTCACTTGTTGGCAATGTAGATGACCTTGTGCTTCTCAATGATGCTGATGTCGTGTTCCAGCTGCTTCATTTCTTCTTCCAGCTTCTGCTTGCGAATCTTCTTTGGTATGGAATCTATGAAGACTGAGAGGGACTGGAACTCTTTGTGCACCTCCTCCCAGTTCTTCTTCAGCCCCTGCAAATGGGAAAGAAACCTTGAAATAGCTCGTACACTGCAAAAGGAAATGATAACAAAGTTACCAGTAATGAGGAGTGAGTTGGTGAAAAGGGCTGTTGAAAAGAACTTTACAAATTATAACACAATGATCCAGGGCTTGTCCATAGTGACAGAAAACACTGTAGAGAAGCCAAGTCCTGCCCCCTGTTGTTTGCTCTGTCCTTGCTGAGCCTCTTTACCGTCAGTGTTATCTGTAACTTGTTTTAGTATCTCATATGTAAATGCAGAGTTATGAGCATTGTAGAACCACATTTATAGCAACTGCTTTGTAAAAAAAAAAAAAAAAAAAAAAAAAAACAACCTGAAAATTGATAGTCCCAGGTAAAAGTTGGTTTTGGAAATATTTTCCATAATTTTATTAGAAAAGTTTTTCTTTCTAACGCATAGTATATATCTGTGTGCACATGAATATTTTTTAGTGTACATGGTGTGTGTGTGCACAAGTCAGTGGAAGCTAGCAGACAATCTCACATGTTCTTTTCAGGACCTTGACCTCACCTCTTTGCAGGCAGGGTCTCATTGGCCTGGAGGCTCAGCACTTAAAGAGTTAGGCCAGCTGGCCAGCAAGCCCCCAGGACTGGCCTGTTTCTTCCTTACTGCTGCTGGGAAGAATCACAGCATGTCACCACGCCTGCGTGTTTGGATGGGTTCTGGGATCGAGCTCAGGTCCCTCTGCTCACAAGGTAAACACTATCAACTGGACCACCCCCACTCCCACCCCCAATTTTACTTCTTCCCCAAAACAGAATTTTCTGTTTTGTCTTTATTCTTCAACACAGAAGTCACACCAGAAGCCTGGATTTTGACTGGCATATTCATATTTTATTTGATAAAATGTTATTGTAAGAAAAAAAATACCAAAATTCAGTTTTACAATGACCCTTTATATATCTTTTCAATATAAAACGAAGAACAAACAATCTTCCACGTACTTCCTGTTAATGTATTCTAGACATGGCTGAAATGTCACCAAACATGGAACACATGCTAATTTAATAACGTGTAGTTAATGCTTTATGGTCTCTGAAATCAACAAATGCAAAATTAATGATCTCTTAGGAGCTATAAATGCCTTTACCATCTTTGCCTAGTTACACTTCTCTTCACAGTGCACCAGGGGGCTCCACTGACTACACGTCTTAAACTACTAATTGAATTCATTCGGTGAAAATTTATAAACTAGGCCTTTTTATTCATTGTGAACATAGATCATTTCAGTAATTCCAGTCCTGTGCATGAAGAAGATATACCAGGAGCTTGCAGATCAGTCAGCTGAACTGGTAAACTCCAGGTTCAGGTGAGAGACCCATTCTCAAAAAATCCGGTAGACAGTGACAGAAGAAGTCACCCCCAGATTTTGACCTCTGACCTCCTCTTATATGAGTTTTTGAGTGCTCAAGCACTTGTGTGTGCATATGCATGCGCGCGCGCGCACACACACACACACACACACACACACACACACACACACACACAAAGTATATTCCATTTTAAACATAGAAAGAGTGAGCTTCGTAAATCCACAAAGGAAGTAAAAGCATGCCCCAAAGCAGCAGAGGCAATGACAGTTGCTACGTGACTAAGGAGAAAGCCAAGCTGGGTCATGTAGGGTGAGAGGAAGCAGAAGCCATTTCTAAAAGGTGAGCCACACAGGAGACAGGCAGTCCCACCATCAGGACATGCCCAAAGCAGCATTTACAAGCTGCAATTCCAGCTGTGGATTTGGGTGAGACGGTGAGAAATCCCACAGTGTCACTCTGGGTGACTAAGGATAGCCAGCAGGTAGCATCTTGAGCAAGCACATATTAAAATCCAAGCTTTTTTGAGGTGTGGGAACTAAGAGTTCAGTTAGGCCTGCCACAGCCTCAGGGTGTAGGAAAGCTGGGAGACAGAAGTAGAAAGCAGCAGGCTGGCTGCTGACAAGCCCAGGCTGTAGGCAACAGGAAGCTGGTCCAGGGAGTGCATGGGGAAGGATAATCTGACCCTGGAGGCCAGGAGCAGATCTCATCAACAGAGAATAACCCTGCAGTCAGATAGCTCTTAGTTTGACCAACCTCAGGACCTTAATTACCAACCTGCACTATCACACAGCCCCAGAGAGCTAACATTGAAAGCACAGGCTACATCCCCAACAGCTGCATCCCTCCAGCATGGCAGTTAGTACTCAAGAGTTTTTACAAGTATAAAGACAGTTTCTGCTTGACAAATGTCAGTGCTGTAGTTGCTTCTCATACTCCCAAGGTATTTGAGAGGCATCTCCACATTTGGGAGACATCTCCAGCTAGAAAATCAGCCACCCCAGGGATACCATCCAAGATGGATCTACAGGGCGAGACAGCTGTCCAGAGCACAGGCTGAAAAGCTATGTGTAGCCAGCAGAGATCCCTGAAGAGAAGAGGAAAGCCACCGAAGTGAAAGAAGACCTGGTGAACATCTATTTTTTCAATATAAACTCAGCAGCAGTATAAAGCTGGGGAATAATAGGACTTTTTCAACTGATTCTGCCTCCACCTCCGAACATAAAAGTGTCTGTTTCCAATTTTCAAAGCCTTGAATAGCCAAAACAATTCTTATCAGAAAGAGCGATGCTGGAGGAATCTCAGTACATGATCTCATATTATGTTACAGTGCCATAGTAACAGTATGGTACCGGCTCAAAAGCATACATGTAGCTAGATTAGAATAGAGGACGCAGAAAGAAACCCACAGAGATATAACCATCTAATTCTTGACAAAAGTGTTGAAAGTATACACTGAAAGAGAGACTGTTTCTTCAAAATATGGTGCTGAGAAAATGGAATTTCCACACATAGAAGAATGAAGTTATTCAAACCATTTCAAAATGGATCAAAGCGATTTAAATGTAGGACCTGAAGCTTTGAAATGGCTGGAGAGAAGTACAGGGGAAATACCTGAAAACATCAGCACAGGCAAGGGCTTTCTGTAAAGAGCTTCAGTAGTGTAGGGAATGTATCCCAAAATTGACAAACAGGATTACCTGGGGTTAAAGGGTTTCTTAAGGGCCTGGAGAGAGGGCTCAAAGGTTAAGAGCATTGGCTACTCTTCCATGGTATGATTCCCATCTTCCACACAGAAGCCAATAAGTATATGTAACTCAGTTGCAGAGGATCCAACACTGTCTGGCCTCTGCAGGCCCCAGGCATGTGTGTGGTGTACATGCTGGCAAAACTCCCTCACATGGGAGATAAAATTAATATGCACAAAAGGCTTCTTCAGAGCAAAGGAAATAATTAGCATAGGAAGAGACAGCTTTCAGAATAGGGATCAAAACCAAGCACACATCATCCCAAACTGGCTAAGAAACTGAACAAATAGTTCTCAAAAGAAGAAATAACAAAAGCTGGCTGATACCAAAAACTGTTCAGTATCTCCAGTCATCAATGAAATGCAGAATAAAACCACTTTGAAATCCCATCTCACCCCTGGTCGAACAACTGTCATCAAAAACATAAATGACAACAAATGCTGGTGAGGAGGTGGGGGAAAGAAATTTTTATAAGCTGTTGGTAGGACTATGAACTGGTACAGTCAGTTATGGAAGTTGCTATAGGAGTTTCTGTAAAAATAAAAATATACATGACCCAGCTATTTCACTCCTGTTTAGGTACCAGCAGAACTCACAGCCAACATGCTACAGAAATGTTTACATTTCCATGTCTATTGATATAATATTCACAATAGCTAGGAAAGGAAACAAGTTCAAATGTCTGTCAGCAGACCAACGGATAAGGAAAATGGGTACATGAATACATGTACAGACATTTTCAGCCTTAAAGAAAAAAGTCAACTTTTTTTTTTTAGGAAAAAAAATTGTAGAGGTGAAATAAAACACAATTTTAAGGACAAATATCACATTTTCCCTCATAAAGAGGACATAGACATAAAATTATGCATGTGTATATGCATGTGTTGCAAATGAATTCGTGTGTGTGTGTGAGAGAGTCATAAACACCAGTGAAGATTCTTAAGAGGGGAGAGGAAAGGAGGAGATCTTAAGCAGGGCAGCAAAAAGAGAGGGTACTAGAACTATTTGGCATGAAAGCTGAAGGGAGGACTGTTTGTGGAGAATGGGACTGACCAGAACAGGTCAGGGAGGATGGGAGCAGCCAACAGGGGAGGGGGAACCAACTAGAACAGAGTGTAAGGCCACATATGCAAGAAATTCGTACTGAATCCCATCACAATGTATGCTAACTTTAGACACTGGTAACAAGAAGATGAGGAAATAGAAAGAGGAGGAGCTCAGTAGGAGGAAGAGGAGACATGAGAAGGCAATGAAGGGGTGATATGATCAAAGCACATTAAGTGCATTTATGTAAAGTGTCACAGTGATACCCAGTAATTTGTATAAGTATTTTGCTAAACAAATAAATGAGAAAAACAAAGGATTAGAAGTATCTTATATAATGATAACATCATAGGAAGTAGAATCATTTGGGGAAAAATGAAGTTTCAGTGATTTAATTCTGTATTTACATAAAGCAATTGGAAGATAGGATTCACTAAATAAGATAGTGACAAGTGAAATAGGACAAGTGATTTGGCCCTTTATTGAGTCAGATCAAAGCAAAGACCTGGATGGCGAAAGGCAGAGGCCACAGTCACTCAGGTTTAACTCTCTCACAGGGGGAGGTGGGTCAGCGCAGCTTTTAATAGCACATGAGATGTGTCCTGAAGAAAAGTCCTCAAAGGAACTCTGCTTTCCTTGGTCTTTCATTAGGAAATCTGGACATGTTTCCACAGTGCGCCACAGGGGTGCCTACCACGGAGAGAAAATGTATACATTTATACACTTTCAAATATCAAAGCATTTTCAAGTGAGTTGCGGAATATTTTCTTATTACTTGCGGTCCCAGAAGCACATTTTTCTCCCTGTGGATTTCTTTTTGAAGGGTACTTTTCTTTTAACTTCAAAAATATACAACAGTGTTTGGATCATAGTCAACAGCTAATGATGGAAACTCAACATAATTTTGTATCATGTTGATGCAGCCTCTTTGCTGTTTTTAAACCTTTTATTTACTTTAGCATATAAAATGATCTTTTATCCACTGGAGCAACAAAAAATTTCTCCTGTCTGTTTTTTACTTTTCATTTTTCTTTTTCCCGTTTTTGTACTGAATGTTGTAAAAATTCAAGTAGCCAGCCATGATACATAAGAAATGCTTTCCATTTCCTGTCCCTCCATCCACTTGCTCCCAACACTCTGCCTTTCCTGCCTGCCTTCTGATACAGCTAGAGTGCTGCTGATCCTGCTTTTTGTCTTTCTGCTTTTGGTCCTTCTGTCCTCTGGGTTTAAAGAAGGGGAGAAGTGTTGGGCCTCTAGACCCTTGCCTTGTGCACTTATGAGAAACTTCCAACTGTGTTTATCTGTACTGTGAGGTGTCTCCAGCACCTTAAGTACACTGGCCATCCTTTGTCCCCACCTTCACAGTCCTTCACTCCTATAGATGCTGCTGCACTTCCTTGTCCCTAGTCTTGGAGGTCTCAGGGCCTTGCTGGTTCCCTTTCCTCTACTTCTGCCTACAGTTCCTTCCCAAACTCCCTTCCAAACCTCAGCTGAGTCTGCCTTCTCTTTCTCCACTGGAGCTCAGAGTCATACAACTTCCCTTTTACCCATCTTGTCTGTGTTGGGAAAAACACTAGCCTGAGGTTCCTTAGATGAGACTTCAGCCCTGGCTCATCAGCTTGATATTATGTGGCCAAAGGCAAGAGTAGGAGTTCACTAGAGTAGGGACTGTGTTTATTTTGTGTGTTATAATCTTGCCCATAAACACATAGATGTCCAGAAATGAAGGAATGGATGGATGTACAGATGGCTCTGCTTATTATATTTGCATTTAACCTCCTCATATGTAGACTGGGGTGTTTGGAATCATTAGCTCAGATGGTCCCTTCTAGGTTTAATGGAACATACTGTTACTGTATGAAGAAGGAGCTCAGGGCATACAACCACAGTTCCACAGAGCTCTGCAGCTTTGAGCTGGGTGGGAAACAAGGCCTACTACTTGTCAGTAGGACAGAAATTGTCTGGCTAGTGATGAAGCATTCCATGAAGGATTCACTATTTTGCCATTGCTGCATCAAAGGGAGGTTCTCCAGGTGACCAGAAGAGGAAGAGAAAGGTAAAGACTGTTTCTCCACTACAGCCAAAACATACAGGAGGGAAAAGCCGTTGCCCTCTCTGGAAGCCCCTCCCACTCCCACTTTCCAGCATCACGCAGTTACGCAGGCATGGTGGTCTGGTTTTTGTGGAGGCATGTGGTTCCTGAAGCCAAGTAATGATTGAAAAATAATGGGCTAGCCCTCCCCTAAATGACCTGTAATTCCCCATTTCCTGCCTGCTATGTCCACAGCCCCACACCTCAATGCCACACCTGTGTACTTTCAGCACTTCATCATGTCACCTCCCCAACAGAGGCACCCTTGCCCTTTAACTGCTCCTGGTGTCTTGGTGCGTCTCTGTCTGCACTTTGGGACTCCAGTTAAGAGCTATATCTTTTGGCTGACTACTGTCTTGGGATGGTCTTACACTTGAGACCCACACACCCACAGACACACACTGCTGTCTCTCCAGAGTGTCATACAGCTCAGCAATCACACTCTATAGCATACTCTAGAGCAAATATTATATCTCATACCATTTGTGCTAACCTCTTAACTGTACAAAATGGACATTTAATAGATTTTTAATGGTGCTTATGATGACATTCATTAAATGTTAATAATCTATAATGGCATATGATCAATTTTTAATAGTTATTGATAAGACAAAGAGTTTTTGTAGTATGTGTCTGTGTGTGTTTGCATTGTATGAGTATGGGCATGTGTGAGCTATAATGCCTGTGTGGATGTCAGAGGACAACCTCGGGTGTTGGTCCTTGCCTTCTACCTTATTTGAGATAGTGTGTTTTGTATTTCCACGCTAACTGGCTCATGAGCTTCCAGGGTCTCTCCTGTCCACCGGTGTCTTCCATGTTGGCATAGGGGTCCAGGACTACAAACTTGTATTACCACAGTCCCTATTTTATGTACACACATTTATTGGACAGCTCTTCACTGAACTGTCTCCCCAGACAAGTCTTCTTGCCTAGTGCGATCACTGGGTACTGTCTTGTAAAAGGCTTTCAAAATAAATATATAAAAAAGAATCCTTATTTCAGTTCTTGAAGATGGCAGAAGAGTACAGCGGGTGATGGTATGAAGGTGTCAGAGCTATCATGTGGGTTCTGGGAATTGAACCCAGATCCTCTGGAAGAACAGACAGTGCTCTTAACCACTGAGCCATCTCTCCAGCCCCCTAAAGTAGGCTTCCTTACAAGTGATATTCACCAACTTAGAAACAAAGTATTTTACAAAAATCTGTATTACAGGTTTTTTTTTTTTTCTTTCCTTTCTCTTTCCGAAAACTAAGCTTTACTTTGCTAGAACCCAAAGAGTCGGTTGTGATGGCAGCCGCAGCCGGCTTCAACAGTGGGACTGCTGGGAGGAGAGGGGCTAGAGGGGAGGGACCCTGAAAGCCCACCTGCAGAACGGCCTCCCTCTCTTCGTCAGAAAGCCTCTTCAGGGCTGCTTTCTCAAGGTTCTCCTGAATACAATTATTGTACTCTTCTTGGGCTTTCTTCACATCCTCATTTCGCTTACATATGTATTCAGGCGTGATGCCGTAATCCTGTGAGAATATTTCAGGAAAAAAAACCTAATCAGTTTCTTGTATGCAGCCTTCTATGTGTGAGCACACAAGCAATTTTGTCTTAAATACTGGAGAAAAAAGACACAACAAACCAACACTAAGCAAATTAGCAAAATTCAGTCATGGCCCCTCCTCTGCAAGTGAGAGTGAGTTCCTCCGGGTCTTCTGAAATGAGATGGTAGACCAGAAAGTTGGCTCAGTGGGGAAAAGTGCTTGCTACCAAATCTGATGATATGAGTTCAGTCCCTGGACACACATGGTGAAAGCAGAGAACTGACTCCTACAGGTTGTCCTCTGACCTTAAAATACGCACGTGCGCACGCACGCACACACACACACACAATTTATTTTTTCTCTTCTGACTATCACCAGTGTCTATTCTTAAGGACCTGAGTTTTATTCCAAGCACTCACACTGCAGCTTACCACCACCTGTAACTCCAGTTTCAGGGGACCTAACACCCTTTTCTGGCCTTCACAGGCACTAGGCCTACACATGGTGTGCAGAGATACATGTAGGCAAAACACTTGTACACATAAAATACTTGTACACATAAAAGTAAACCTAAAAAAATCTAAACTACACCTGTATTGAACACGTAACAAGAGTTTCCCCCTTGTTATTCTTCCCTAAGCAGCATGGTATACCAGTGTGTTACCCTAATAGTATTTATATTGTTTGTGGTAAGAAACCTAGAAATAATATAAAGCCCACAGGAGGTTATGTATATCACTCACATCTACTGAGCCATTCATATGAAGGCCATGAACATTTGGTACCCACAAAGGTTCTGAAACCAACCCCCCTGTAACACCAAGGAGAAAGCACAAAGTAACATGTGAGCAGGCTTTGACGTAAATAAGGGCTAAGAGGGTCAAAAAGGTGTCTCTGAGGAAGTGGCAGTGAGGGATCTGGTAGTCATGGAAACTGTTCACAACTATTCTTACAAATCTGTCCCCTGACTTCAGCATGTGAGCCATGGCACATGCACATAGCCCCGCCCCATAATAAGAATATTTTTTTAAAGGTTTGATTATGTTTGGCATATTATGTTCAAAAAAGGGGCCAGTGTACTACATTTGAGAAGAAAAATCTGACAAATGAGCAAAAGCTTTAGTGATCTTAAGTGTATACAAGCTAAGTGGCTGGAAGCTGATGAATCTTGTCACTATGATAACGTCTGTTTTTTGTGGCTCTTTTATTAGGCGTCAGATATAGTCAGGTACTTAGTGTCATTTAAGGCTCACTGTGCCCCTAATGGTCAATCCAGTGGCTTGTCACAGATCCGAAAGGTAGCTAGTGCCAAGTCGGAATTTGAAATGATATACTCATTCATCTTTTAGTTTATCTCAACAATCTCAAGGCACAAATGACATATAATTCATTTAGAACTTAAAAAAACAAGAAGTAGTCTACTTGCTTTTTCCCAAACTGTACTCCCTTTACCATCTGGTGCTGGTTAGTTTTTTGTTTGCTTGTATGTTGTTGTTTTTTCTTGTTATTGTTGACTTGAGACAAGCTACACTCATCTGGGAAGAGGGAACCTCAATTGAGAATGCATTCATCAAATTGCTTTCTAAACAAGTCTGTGGGGGCATTCTCTTGGTTAATGGTTGATGTGGGAGGGCTCGGCTCACTGTGGGTGGTGCCATGCTAGGCCAATGATGCATATTGAGCCAAACATGGGGAGCAAGCCGGTAAGCAGCACCCCTCTATAGCCTCTGTATCAGCTTCTGTCTCCAGGTGTTGAGTTCCTACTCTGATCCTTCCACGATTGACTATAAGATGTAAGATGAAATAAACCCTTTCCTCCCTAGGCTGTTTGTGGTCATGATGTCTTATCACAGCAAAGAAACCAAACTGAGATGCTGCCTATCTTCTTTATTAAACATAGATTATTTTTTAAAGACTTAACTCTGGATAGTGAGAGCTGAGTACTAAGTCTGGGAGGAGCAACAGCAGGGAGACAGTAAGTGTGTGCTGCCCCTGGTAGTGGATCCGTCTGCTATCTTCTGTTTCTGCGATGGACACTTCAGCCTTTTTTCTGTTCAGAAAGAAAATGGATTGACATGGCCAGCATACACAGAAACAGCCCAGAGGAGAGGCGACATGAGCAGCAGTTGCTGACATAACCACCAGAGGAAAGAAGGGATTTTAAAAAAATTCAACAACAGATCAGTAATGGGTTGGAAGTGGCTTGAAGGAGTCCACTTGTCCCGATGATGTGAGAAGAACCATGGTGGAGGGATCCTGAGAAGCCTTAGTAATGTTCATCAGCATGTGACCAACAACCAGAGCCCCAGTTCTTCCAGAGTGCTCTTAGCCTGCTGGGTGAGAGAACTTCTCAGAGAGTGGGGCCCTGGGCTCTGAAGGTGGCCTTCATTTCTGCAATCATGCTGGTGCAGTAGGTCACTGCACACCTAGGCTACCTAGGCTACTCACTATTCAGTCAGACCTTCCCTTTCCTCCTCTTCCCTCCCCTCCCTTCTCCTCTTTCCCCCTTCTTTTCCTCTTTCCTTTCCTCCCCCCCCTTTTCTTCTCTCTCTCCATTCCTCAAGCTCCTCTTTCTTCCTTCTATTCCTTTTCTATTTCTGGCCACAACTTACTATTATTAACATTTAAGACTTTGCAGCTTATTTTAGTATGTGTTCACAGACACTTTTATAAAATAGAGTAGGATTTGTATATTTTTTTCTTTGTAAGCTTTTGACTTAAGAGGCTTTTTTTTCTTAACAATTAAACTTAAGTTTAATTAGCAAATAAAATCATGTCCCTCACTGAGGAACACCTTTTCAGGTAAAAATCAGTTACCTAATAACTTTCCCGTGCTTTCAGTGCTTTACCGAAACTCAAATCAAATCAATTCATTTTCACTAAAATTGTGACATGGTTTAGTTCAGAGAGAGTGACAGGATGGGTAACTCTGAAGCTTCCGTGGCTCCGTTCTCATTCTGCTCTCAAGGTCATATAGGTGAATGACTATGTTAAGACCTTTAGTGACATTTTGATCTCACCAATATTTAATACTTTTCAGAGACTGTCGATTGACTTATTAAATACATTAATAACTAAAATTGGGGAAGATAGAAGTCACGCTTTTGATGTGAACTGCGCACAGTCTGCAGACAGCGGGAATGAGCAACCTGTGTATCAATCTCATAGAGAAAATCTGGAGCTCTGTGAGACTTTGGAATCTCAGATCTCTTACTAACAAATCAAGGGCTACCTTTTTATTGATGTACTTGGGGAGTAGTCCTGAAGTTTCAAGATCATGCTTATCTCCAGTTCTTCTGTCAACATAAATTGGCTTGGGCTTTTTGGCTACGCCCACGATGACATCAGCTGCATTTGTGTTTATGAAGTTTTTCCCACTCTGTATTCCCATGACTGGATGATCAGTCCTCAAGGGCACTGCAGGCATCTTGGAAAGACGCTTATTAAACTTTTTTTCTGTTAAACATAACATTTAATGGTTAATGCTCAAAAGTAAACATTGTTACTAACACCATTCAGGACATCCAGATGTTTACTACTGGATTGAGGTTTTCATTAACAATATATGCAAATACTTCAGGTAAAACAACTATGCATATCCACAATTTTATTGGTTTGTGTACATCAATTATGTATCATTTGTCTAGCATTTGCCAACCATATCTCTATAAAAGTATTTAAAAACAAAAGTATAAATAATCAAAATATAAAATTAAGTGCAATGTGATCAAAGAGGCTGTCTCTGACATGAACTCAGTGGCAGGCTCTCTGATCACCTCCCCCTGGGGGATGCAGCCTTGCCAGGCCATAGAGGAAAACAATGCAGCCATTCTGATAAGACTTGATAGGCTAGGGTCAGATGGAAAGGGAGAAGGACCTCCCCTATCAGTGGACTAGGGGAGGGGCATAGGGGAGAAGTGGCAGGGAGGGTAGGATTGGGAGGAAATGAGGGAGGGGGCCACAGCTGGAATCCAATTGTATAAATCCAAGTGAAAAATTGTAATTAATAATAATGATGATAATAATAACAGTAATAAAAGAAAATAATAAAAAGATGTTGCAAATAAAAAAAGAAAATGTAAAAGCTATAGAAAAGCGGGCATCAGAGTCCATGTCAATAAATAAAAATTAAAATAAATAAAAGATGTTGAAAACAGTATAACAAAGAGGTCTAGTAAGTGGACTATAATGATAGGTCACTAGCGTACATAAAAACTACAGAAAATTTTAGCATGCTATCAGTATTATCCAGAATTATGTTTTACAAGAGAAAATGATAACAAAGTCATCAAGTAAATTAATAAAACTTTACATTGGAAGCTCAATGATCTGTGGATATTTTCACAGACACTTTTGTTATTACAATGAATAATTGCTGTGTACTCAATGCACAGATTAACCAGTAACATGTTACCAATATGACCCAAATCCCCTATTCCTTCCTTCATAGTGTTTCACCATCTTTAAGAAAGCAACTGCCAGGCCTTTTCTTTTATCTCTGTTTACACTCTTTATGATATCAGATAAAATTGTTTTGTCTAACACAACCTTTTCAGTTTAACAATTCCAGCCAACATTTTCATATTATCACATTAACATGGCTTCTGCATTCTAAATTTCTTTCTAAAAACTAAGACAATTACTCTTTTGTCAAGGCCTACTCCAGTTTTAACTGTACCATAATCATTATGGTCAGACATTATTCACCTCTGCACTAGGTGACTCTGTTTGCTTAGTGATGTTGTAGGGCATTAACTAGAATGGGGGATACTCGGACATAGGTTAACCAGCAGAAAGTCTTCATTAGCTAGCCAGTAATAATGCTGGGTATTTGGGATCCCACTGTATCCCTGAGACTTTCTCAGGGCGAACTTTTAATTACAAAAATTATGTTCTGGGTTGATGTACTTCAGTAAACAAAAGCAGTTAGCCAGAAGCAGAACTAAAGTACATTTAGAGAGTTTCCCAAGAACTATGGACTTTGATGGATTAAGCCTTTGTTTTAGTTTTGGCAAGTGGCACTGTCTACATACTGAGTTTTACAGCCTGAATAGTACTTCCATCATATGGAGTCGGTGGTACTAAGGTCCAGAGGCCTGTTACAAGGGAGATTATACTACTTCTATTTTCAGGAAAAAAAGTGTAATTTTTGTCAAAAGTCTATGTGTTGGATTAACCTCTTCTTGGAGCTTATGTCCCTTCAGAATTCATATATTGAATCCATAGATCCAGTACCTTACAATGTGAATGTTACTGTTTAGATAAAAAGAAGTAATTAGATCAGTCTCTAATTCAAGTCGGATATTAGTTCAACAACTGGTAATGACCACTGTAATTTTCATCTCCTAGAAAAAAACGTGTAGTCAAGATGAGGGTAATCTTGCCCATTAACCAAACACTGTACCTGAGGTGCTAACCCCCTTCTTATAAATGCTTAGTAGTAAAGATACAAGCCAGGAGATAAGATACTGAAGCATGTGGTGTTGGAGGTGGCCCAGAAGTAGCTCAAGATGTTTGCCCACCTCTGGTCTGCATGGAGGCAAGTTAACAGCTGCCACTCTTTTTTTTCCCTTTTTTTAATTTTAATTTTAATTTTTTTATTATTAGTTACATTTTATTAACTCTGTATCCCAGCTGTATCCTGTTTCCTCATTCCCTCCCCAAACCCTCTTTCCCTCCCTCATCTCCTTCCTGCCCCTTTCCAAGTCCACTGATTGGGGAGGACCTCCTCCCCTTTCATCTGACCCTGTTTTATCAGGTATCTTTAGGATGGCTGCAAAGTCCTCCTCTGTGGCCTAGCAGGACTGCTCCTCCCTTGAGGGGTGGGGAGGTCAAAGAGCCTGCCATTGAGTTCCTGTCAGAAATAGTCCCTGTTCCCCTTACTATGGGAAACCAGTTGGTTATTGAGCTACCACGGGCTTCATCTGAGCAAAGGTTCTAGGTTATATCTATACATGGCCCTTGGTGGAGTGTCAGTCTCAGAAAAGACCCTGTGCCCAGATATATTTGGTCTTATATCCTTTCCATGTCATACTAATTCCCCCTTCTTTCATATGATTCCCTGCACTCTGCTGAAGTTTTGGTTATGAGTCTTAGTATCTGCTTTGATACACTGCTGGGTAGAGTCTTTCAGAGGCCCTTTGTCTTAGGCTCCTGTCCTGTTGCTTGTTTTCTCCTATGTCCAATGTTCATCCCATTTATCTTTCTAAGTGAGGATTGATCATCTTACCCTGGGTCCTCTTTCTTGTTTATCTTCTTTAGGTGTATAGATTTCATTATGTTTATCATATCTTATAGGACTATATGAGTGAGTATATACCATGTGTGTCTTTCTGCTTCTAGGATACCTCACTTAGAATGATCTTTTCTAGATCCCACCATTTGCCTGCAAATTTCATGATTTTCTCATTTTTGATTGCTGAGTAGTATTCCATTGTGTAAAAATACCACAATTTCTGTATCTGTTCCTCCGTTGAGGGACATCTGGGTTGTTTCCATGTTCTGGCTATTACAAATAAAGCTGCTACAAATACGGTTGAGCAAATGTCTTTGTTGTGTACCTGAGCAAATTTTGGGTATATGCCTAGGAGTGGTATAGCTGGGTCTTGAGGAAGCACTATTCCTAATTGTCTGAGAAAGTGCCATATTGACTTCCAAAGTGGTTGTACCAGTTTACATCCCCACCAGCAATGGAGGAAGGTTCCCCTTTCTCCACAACCTCTCCAGCATGTGTTGTCACTTGAGTTATTCATCTTAGCCATTCTGATGGGTGTAAGGTGAAATCTCAGGGTCATTTTGATTTGCATCTCCCTGATGGCTAAGGATATTGAGCATGTCTTTAGGTGTTTCTCTGCCATTCTATATTCCTCTGCAGAGAATTCTCTGTTTAGCTCCTTACCCCATTTTTTAATTGGATTACTTGATTTATTGCTTTTTAACTTCTTTAGTTCTTTATATAAACAGCTGCCACTCTTTTTCTATTTCTATTTCTACTTTCTCCTGGTCTCCCAAGCTCCACTTACCATGAAGTAAAGTTGCTGTTACTTCTTTATATTTAATATTCATTGACAGTAAAATAATGGTAGATAAATTACCTGCCAACAATTCTAATAGTTAAAACATTAAGTGATTAAACCTACTAGGTGGTAGCATTTTTTCCTTAGAATGTTTCTTTAGAAACTCCTTTGGGGAGGGTAGTTCAACTTTTGCAGGCCCCATAGTTTTCATTGCAGTTTTGAATTTCTTCAGGTCATCTTTTATAGATGCTCTAAACACTGATGTATACCTGAAATTAAAAAATTTAAATTGTAGCATTCAAGTATACAATAAGAACATTTGCTCAACCATGTTCATAGCAGCTTTATTCGTAATAGCCAGAATCTGGAATCAACCCAGATGTCCCTCAATGGAGGAATGGATACAGAAATTGTGGTACATTTAAACAATGGAATACTACTCAGCAATTAAAAACAAGAGAATTATGAAATTTGCAGGCAAATGGTGGGAACTAGAAAAGATCATCCTGAGTGAGGTATCCCAGAAGCAGAAAGACCACAAGGTATATAGTCACTTATAAGTGCATTAGAAATATAATATAGGATAAACATACTTAAAATCTGTACACCTAAAGAAGCTAAGGAAGAAGGAGGACCCTGGGTAAGATTATAATTCTTCATTTAGAAAGGCAAATGGGATGGACATTGGAAGAGGGAGACAGGGAACAGGACAGGAGCCTACCACAGAGGGCCTCTGAAAGACTCTGCCCAGCAGGGCATTAAAGAAGATGCTGAGACTCATAGCCAAACTTTGGGCAGAGTCCAGGGAATCTTCTGAAAGAAGGGGGGGATGAGAGACCTGGAGGGACTGGAGCTCCACAAGGAGAGCAGCAGAACCAAAAACTCTGGGCCCAGGGGTCTTTTCTGAGACTGTTACTCCAACCAAGGACCATGCATGGAGATAACCTAGAACCCCTGCACAGATATAGCCCATGGCAGCTCAGCGTCCAAGTGGGTTCCCTAGTAATGGGAACAGGGGCTGTCTCTGATATGAACTCAGTAGCTGGCTCTTTGATCACCTCCCCCTGAGTGGGGAGCAACCTTACCAGGCCACAGAGGAAGACATTGCAACCAGTCCTGATGAGACCTGATAGGCTAGGGTCAGATGGAGAGGGAGGAGGACCTCCCCTATCAGTGGACTGTGGGAGTGGCAAGGAAGGAGAAGAGGGAGAAAGAGTGGGATTAGAAGGAGACGAGGGAGGGGGCCACAGCTGGAATCCAAAGTGAATAAATTGTAATTAATAAAAAAATTAATTAATTTAAAAATTAATAAAAAACAAAAAATAAAATTGTAGCATTTATATTTCTAGTGAAAAATACTTAAAGAAAGTTTAAAAACAGCCATAAATTTCTGATTTAGGTATGCCTGTACTGATAATGGGGAATAGGCATAAGGCTGAATGATCTGACTCTATCCACTATGCTTACAAACTCTAGGTTGAAAGAGGTGCCAAGGTGTTAAAGTTAATTTTATAAAACTGTGTTTGTTTCTCAGTTTCTCTCTTAACCTGGCTATTACACAAATAATTGAAACTTTATTATATTATTTTAACAAGCTTCACAGCACAATCACAAGCAATATTAACTCATTAACTCTTCTTTATCCTCTAAACTAATCTGGTTTCCTCTCAGCATACACTTTGTGACTTTCTTTGCTGAGTTCTCTCTGCTGGTCTTCGCTGGACATCTGTCCAGAGCCCAATCTCCTGGCTGAACTGTCTACTTCCTCCCCTAACTCTTCCTTGCCTAGCTGGCAGGCACTGCGGCTGGTCTTCTCTCCCCTGCTCAGTGACTGGCTGTATGATGCTTTATTGACATATCAGAGGACATGTGGGGAGCAGAGTTTATGCAACACTGAGACAGGAGATTCTCAGAACAAGGATTGCAACCAGATATGCGGAGTACAGAAATCAGCATTTGAATTACACAATAACTTTATGCCTCCACCAGGGCAAAGGTATCTGTTTACCTCCATATTATCCAACGAGCACCAACTGGGATGTCTCCTCACTCACTGACGACCTTAATATTGCATTTCTCCCTACCCTCAAGCCCCAGTCAGTCAGTCTTGCTAGCAGTTTCATCATCTTCTCAGTGAACCCAAATTTTACTGTTTTTATTAATGGTCACTCATTTTTCATTTCAATGTTTTTTTTTTCACTGTTCTTTAGTATTTATTTTCCTTTCTTTACATATAATTTGCTTTTTAAGAAATTCTTAAGGTATAATTATAAATATATTTGCTTTCAAACTTTTAAGATCTTTGGAGGGTTTAAATATATAAATTTTCCTCCAAGCACTGCCTTGGCTGTATCCCAAATATTTTGAAAGGACCTCTTTCATCAGGCTTCGTGGCACACCCTTAATCTTAGCACTTGGGGGGCAGACGCAGGCAGATTTGTGAGTTCCAGGCCAGCCTGGTCTACAGAGTGAGTTTCAGGATGGCCCAGGGCTACATAGAGCAACACTGTTTCCAAGGTGTGTAGGTGGGGAACACAAGGATATCTTTCATTTTCCTGCCATTCCAAATACCTTTTATATGGTCTTCATTTGAACGTTTGCTTATCTTTGCTCAATTTTCATAGATTCAGGGTTCCCAATTATTTTTCTATTGATTTCTAATTTGTTTCCACTATAGTTGGAGAATATATTTCGTATGACTTCAAGCCTTAAAAACAAAACTTGATACTTCTGTGTATACCAGAGTGGTATACCGGATAGAGTGCAGCTAGACTCTTGAACTGTCCTCCCTGTCTCAGGGAAGGTCACCCTCTTCTTCCCAGCACATAGCTTTGGGAGGGGCACATATGGGGTGGTAAGGAAGGGAATGCCTGCTTGTGCTAGTGAGATTACTGAATCAACCTGCTTTTGTACTTTTTTATCTTAATTTTTAGAGGGATTTTCTCATAGACTATATAGAAATTGTAGCCATGCAAAAATTACTTTTATTTTGTATGTTTGTATCATTTAATTTTAATGTGCTTTTTGGAGTATTTTTTTGTGGATTGGTGAGACGGATCAGCGGGAGAAGGCTTTATCAGTAAGTATGATGACATGTTTTTGATCCCTGGGACCACAGGGACCTTCAGATTAAAGGTGTGCACCACCAGAGCTGACTTCCATCCCTAGCTTGCCAATTCAGTGTTCTTTTCTCTATCCCCATTGTTCATTTTGTGTTGTTGTTGTGTCTTCTGGTTCATCTGCTTTCTTCATTAGTACCTTTGCTGCTGCTAACCTTCTCCGTGTGCTGCTGCTAACCCCCTCCGTGTGCTGCCTTTGCTGCTGCTAACCCCTCTCCGTGTGCTGTCTGTACTTTGGACATGGTCTTCTTCATATCCAGACGTCAGGCTTGTATCTTCTTTCCCCCTTTCATCTCTCTCCATATCTTAAGTCTTGCATCCTGCTACATCATTAAACATGATATTTAAAATAGTTACTTTAAATGCCTCTGTCTAGTAATTTTCTTATTTGTGCCATTGCTAGCCATTTAGATTGGCAGCTTTTCTTTAGGTTATATCATATATTTTCCTGCTTCTTTGCGTGCCTGTTCATTTCTGTTGTTTTGATGCCAGGTATTGTGAATTTTACAGTTAATTTCTGACTTTTGTTTTTCTTTTCTTTAACTTTGTCCTTTTGTTTGTTTTAACACTTCTTAAGTTTGATTTTGGATTGCAGTTGTAGTCAGAAAAAGTGGTCATTTTACGGCAAGATGTTAAGTCTTCAACTTGAGATTCTGTGCTGCTACTTAGGCAACGAGTTTGCCACAACGACTGAGTGAACTTTATCCCCTGTCACTGGGGCTTGCTATGGGTCATTTTCATGGTGCTATATGTCATCACACATATCCACTATCAATCAAGGTGTTTGAGGACATCTCCTGTAGCTTTCTGTCCCTCTCTGGGCAGTCCTCTTCTCTCTGGCCCACCATTCTGTGAATGCTTTGTCTCCCCAGCTCCAAACTGTCTTCTTGATTCTCGGATAGTCAAGGGCTTTGTTTCCGTTCTCTGGGCTTTGTCCAGGAAAATGTCCCTAGAGTGTCTGTTAGGACAACTGCAGGCCAGTCTCATTCCTTTCCTTTCTCTCAGGAAAGGCTGCTCTGTACTGTTCACTGTTCGGTGTTTGAAAACCTTTGTTTCCTGTGTTTTTTTCCTGGTGTCCTAGCTGTTTCTGGTGATAGAATAAATCTCATCCTTGCTTGGAAGCAGAAGTTCAGCTATCTTACTTTTTTTTTGTTGTTTTGTTTTAAAAGTATTTAAAAGAGATTTCTTTTTTGTAGAATACTCAATAGCTTTAGAAAAATCTCAGGACTTGATGTTAATGTTATTAAATCATATGTATAACATCTATCCAAATTACAAAAATATCAAAATGTTTGCACTAATATTGTTGGAAGGAAATACATCAAAATATAACCTTATCTTAGGAATGTAAGAATTTGGGGTAATCTGTTTTCTTCCTGATCTGTTACTAAGTTGGGGTTTTTAATTTTTCCAGTATCATACTTGTATAAATTCACTCATCCCAGGTAGCCTACCTTTATCAGTTTGCATTCTCTGCATATGTGGATACACAGATGTGTATGCAAAACAAACTACTTCTATGCGATAAGGCCTTTCTTCAACAATGAACTCAGTAAATGGGAACTTTATGGAAATGAATGAATCATAAGACAACTTCAGGAAGCCTTCAGAGAAGGCATCACTATCAATAACCTAATTTCCTTTGATGTGAAATAGGATGTGTCTATCTATAGCCACCTCCTTCGAAAATTTGTGATTCAATACTTTTCATGAGTATATAAATCAAAAACATATTCATTGATTACATAATACTCTGATATTTTATTCTGTATGTAACAATTTTTATTCCAAATTAATTACAAATCAGTTATAATCTCGATCCCCTTCCCTTCATTTCTCAAAACAATTTAAATTCTCAAAACAGTATAAATTCAGTTTGTGTTTATCTATATGAATTACAACTTTGATTTGTTGCCAGTTTTTTTATTCTTTTCTTCCCTCTAGTAGACTGTCATAAAAATTCTTAACCTTGCTTATATACATTTAATTATTTCTTTTTTATTTTTTGAGATTTATAATATAATTACATCATTTCCCCCTTTCCTTTCCTTCCTCCTAACCATCCCATATACCTGTCTTGTCCACTTTTTCATTACTTGTTGTTGCATGGACATATGTACATGTGTATGGACAACTTTATTTCTTAAATATAATATAATGTGATACCTTTGAATGTCAGTATATAAAAAGCTTACTCTTTTAAATAGCTATATTTCATTACATTTTGAATTTGTGCAGTTTTACTGTAAAGATGAGGCAGGTAATTTCATCAGATATCTTGATTTGTTTTTTTACTTATTTTAGACTGGGCTTAGAGGTGTCTTATTTTGAAACTAAAATTGTCATCTCCAACTGACATATTATAACTATTTTATTGCAAACAACTGCAACATAGTGAACCATTTTATAACCTTTAAAAAGAATACACAGAGAAGCAACATTGCTCAAATGTGCTGATAATCTAAAAGAACTTCAGATTTTCCTTTATTTTGAATGACATATCTGAGAAACTGTGTGTGTGTGTGTGTGTGTGTGTGTGTGTGTGTGTGTGTGTGATTATGTGCATTCAATTTTAGATTAATACTGACTCTGGAGCTTGAACTGTGTTAGAAAGTCCTCCAAATTATTTCTAGAGATTTTTCATTTAGACACTGCATAAATTCACTCACAGACATTGAAATGATTTTTACAACTCATCTTCTTGACTATATAAAATAATTAATTTTTTCAAAAATAGATGAAATTCTACTCCCAGACTGGTTGGTTGTCACAGTTATGGACTGTACTTCATTTATAGCCAGTAATGCAGGTGTGTGCCACTGAGTATAATTATTATCTTTCATAAGCTATTGAGAAAAAAATAATATGGTAAATTTCAATGCAGTCAATATATTCATTTCTGCTGTTCAATACTTGTGGGTATTGGGGCTAGTGCCACATAATGAAATGACAGTAGTGTAGATATATCAGGCTAATAATGTAAATTATTAAGGTTAGTTTTGATTTTGTCTCTTTTTCTTTTAAAAATGACTTAGGAAACTTTTGTATTTCATTTTTACTGGATGGTGTTGACCTAAATAGCAGAAAATCTATCCAGTTAAATTAGAGAACAACACATTCATTCAAACTGCTTTCTTTAAGTTATGCTGGCACTTCAATAATTTAGACCAGTAAAACATGGCACACTCCAGGTGACACCAATGCTGACCCACAATGTGTTTAACATCCAAAAACCGTGAGAAGGTATATTTATGGCTCCCCATGAAGAGCATCGTACTTCTGCTCAACTGCAACTTAACTTTTGCCCATGATTCTGTGACTTGGAGTCACATTGCTTCCTTTATGGATCACGGACTCCTTTATAGCCAATTCAAATCTGAATCAGACAGATTCGAGAATCCCAAGCACACATGAGATGTTCATTTGTAATGACATCTTACTTTTCTGTCATCCTTTTCTTTCTCTCTGGTAGTCTCATCATAACATATCTTACTGCACAAAAAAGAAAACAGTGTATGAATCCTAAACAGTATCTGATGCATAGTGCCTTATCAGGAGCCGAAAGTGAACACTCCACTGAGGCGAAGGCACTCCTCCCATTTCTTTTCACTTGAGCAGTTGCAAGCTGATCAGTTTGGGGCCTTGTCAGCCTTGTTTTATTTTCAGCTCTTGTACATCTTACCTGCCTCAACTTTTTGGACCTGAGTTTTCTCTTCTATAAAATTAAAACAATACTAATCATCTATAGAGTTCCCATGGGGATGGATAATGATTGTGAAAACCATAGTACAGTGTCTGGAACGTCAGAGTACTACTGAGTTAGACATGTTTCTGTGGGCAGCACCAGATGCCATTGTATCTGTGTTTCTTCTTACTAGTAGTCACGTATATTGAGATATTTTTTTAACTAAATCAACTTAACACTTTGTTTTCCTAAGTCCTGGGTAAAATAAAAATGCAGTCTTATACCCTAAAATTCTGAATTCTGGTAAATATAATAGACCGACCCAAGTTCCTAGCATTTTAAAATGACTTCTCATATCACAATGTAATACAGAGTTGTTTTGCATAGGATGGTAAACCTTGTTCTGTAATTGAATAATGTTCTGAACAGGTTCACTTATCTGCAAATTTCTTTGGCATCTAATTTTAAATTTGGTGCATCTTTGGCACCAAATTTCATTGGCACACTCTTTCCCCAGTGGTTTGTATGTAGAATGCCAGTGAGGCAGTTGACAGTTTTCACTGCGTGTTACATACAGAAATTTGGCTGAGAGACAGTGACTCAGATGAACTTGGCCGCTGCAGTTTCCGTGTTGTCAGAGCCCTATTTGTATATTATGTCCTCCTCATTTATATGGCAGAAGATGAAAACTGATTTTTGAAATATCTCATTCATTTATTTGAAACTTTCATTAGGGTTTTAAACAATACATTATTCTGTGCTGAATCAACACTTTGTTTCTAATTCTATGTAAGAAGACTGTTAACTCTGAGGTGTGGGACAACACAACGCAGCCAGCAGGCCATCCTCTGCAACGCTTCAAAGCTATGGCAAGCTCCCCAAGAAACGAGATTCTACTTCAGTGATGCAAACAGGACCTGTGCATTTAAATATTTTCTTGTGGTTAAGTATATTAGTGAGAATACTAACGGCAACAAAGTAGTAGTGCAGTGAAGAACAATGGTGAAATGTTTTATCATGCTTTAAAAAAATCAAATCAGTAGTTCACATGTGTGGCATCTTGTCAAAACCCTCTCAGGGAAACCGACTTCCCACAGCAGGGTTATCTAGGGCACCCCTTTTATTCCTTCTCATCCTCAGTCCTTTTTGTACTTATTTATAAACCAGGGAATTTACATTGTAACTCTAATGTGCAAGAATACTTAACTGTTATACACAGAACAGGGGACAAATAAATCCTTAAGTTCCCAGGTGCATTAAAGCTCTTTACCAATTAACAGAATGCTGAACTAATAAAATATCATAACATTCAAATTCAGTATTCCATAGAAGGCAGGTTCTTTCAGTGTGTTACAGAAAGGTAGAAGTTTATCGTGTAGTTCTATCACGTAGTTTATAGGAATTTTGAACCAAAAGTTGATTCACCCATAAGTCATGTGAAAACTGTAAACGCCACAAGTGTGTCAGCATTTACATTCTTTACTAACCTCGACTAGCTGATAAGCAGTGGAAGTACAGTATCTTGATTGCTCGGATATAAGCTACATACTCACTTAGGTTAAAAGGGAAGAGTTACACTTTGCTGTTACCACCCCAAATAATGAAAAGTTGATCATTACATTTAGAGGGAAACTTAGAGATATCTGTTTCACTTATTTTATAAATCAAAAAACAAGTGAAAACTGATCCCACGTCTCCAAAATAACTGGTAAATCTTGATTTTTAGCTCAGAGTTGTTTTTATTTCTTGGTTGTTTGGGTCTGTCTTTGTAGTTCAGGCTCGCCTTGAACTCAGATTCTTCCCCTAGCTTCCTGGGTGCGGCAATAGGCAGGTACATCTGAGTGTTGGCTCTTTTAAAGTGGCTGTGATGTTTATCAGTCAAGAGACCAAGGTAAGTAGCAGAAAACAGGAACTCCTAGGAGGAATGAGACTGCCCTCTTCTCCCCTTGGATTTCAATAAAATTTAAGAAATAGCTACAAGGCAGAATATCTGGGACATTTATTATGTTGGAGCTTTGGAGATTTTCAGGGGACTAACAAAGACATAAGAATTTCTCTCAATTTTATATTTTTGAATCTTTATCCATCCAACCATATCCCTTCCATTAATCCATAAGATCTGAAAAAAATCCTAAAAAATACTCTCTAGTTCACCATCATTGTTAAATTACTGAGGCCTAGAAACAAATAAGAATTTAATTTAGACAATTACCGGAGGCAAAAGAGTACAGAAGAAAAAACTATGAGGTCAAATGCAGCACTGACTTCCTAAAATTAAACATCAAATTTCCTAAAACGGACTAATAAAACTGATTCGTCTTTTTTCAGCGACATGAAATGTCACCCTGTACACCACACTGCCTACAACTAGATCAGTAATTACGTACTAGCAGAGAACTATGACAATAAAATGACCGTCTTACAGACCCAGCTCACATTTTCTCTGAATTATTAAACGCTAAATAGATTTGTCCACCTGTTCCTAAGAAGATGCCACCCAAGGTTACTTCATTAAAACAAAAATGTTTTAATTTTAAAAGTCCTATAACATGCAATCCCGACAAGTCATTAAAAGGCGTCACAATTCTTTTTCTGGGCTGAAGTCATCGCTTTTGCTTACCCACATACCTAGGAGGCTGGGGCGGCTCCTTCAAGTCACTGGGTATGAGGTTATAAATACTCTCAGAAGTGCAGGGTGGGTCCATGGCCACCAAAGAATTCCTTAACAACTACACAACTTTTGTCTCACGATCACGCTGTCCTTCTTTCACCCCTTTTTCCTTTTCTTGCTCACTTATCTAGGAACTAAAAATCTCTCCCTTTTATAATCTCCCTTGACCCTGTGGTGGCAGCCCCTTTTCAGGAAGAAAATATTCTGCTTCTCTTGGGACTGCTTAGCGTTGTTGGCCGCGTGGTTGCTGTGGAAACGGTTGCTGGGAAACGCGTCAGTGGCAGGCTGGTTTTCTCTGGTTCCTTTTTGTAATTCCTCCTGCCTGAGAAATAAGGATAAAGACGTTACTCTATCTCTGGAAAAGACGACATGAAAACAGTGCGCCCGACCCCAAAATTTTTGCTTTCTTTTCCTCGGTTCATCTGAAGAAAATTTCTACAATAGGGAGTGAGACTGATGCGCAGGCGTCACCCAGTAGAATCCAACACGCAGGGCGCGCCCCCACGGGGGCGGGGCGAGCGGCCGAGGAGGGAGAACGACCGCGAGGCAATAGGCGGGGCGTAGAGGTCACGTGCGCACCTTGTGGGCGGTGCGCAATCGGCGCAGGCGCAGAAGCTGCTGCTCTGGGCAGGGCTTTCGGGCTGAGGCTACCTAGGCGGTGCCGAAGCTGCTTCGTTTTACCGTTCCTCTCCCTGGTCTTCCGTGGGGTGGTTTTGTTGGTGAGTTAACGGAGGAGGAAGGGAAGCCAGCGCGGGTTGTTTCCCTCGCATCTCCTTCCGTCGCGTCCCATCACATCGCCTTCCACCTGTCGCACTGGTCCCCACTATGTCTCCAGGGCGCGTGCGCGAGCGCGAGCGCTAGCCTGCGCCGGGAGGGCCAGCCTTTGGAGTGGGCCTCTTATTTTGCCCAGGTTTTAACACCTAACCCTTTTTGACTTTTATTTATCTTTTCTCTCCAAGAAGGGCTTTTACTCCGTTTTGCTTTTCCGTTCATTCTTATGCACTCGTGACAGCACGCTCATTTAGAAGCCTTGACCCCAGTCACACATGTTGGCACTGTGATTTTGGAGGGAAAATCCGTGGCTCCGAGTTCACTTGGCGGGCGTCCACCGGGGTCTTACTGCCTGGTGGATGCTTAGTGAACTTTCAGTTTCTACTTGGAAGGCCTCGCTCAGTGCAAATCGTAATTTGAGGCTCTTGCTGAATTTTATTAGATGAGAATAAAAATTTTTGTTTTTCCATTTGGTAAAATTAATTTTTTTTCTGGACAGACCACAGTTCAGGTAAATGAACGTTTTGCGGGGAGGGCGTGATTCTCCTTATTTCATAGCAGTTGGGTGTTTTTTGTTTTTTTTGGTTTTTTTTTTTTTTTTTTTTTTAGATGAGGGCATTGGTGTTTAGCCTGAATACATGTCTGTGTGAGGGTGTCAAATCCCCTGGAATTGAAATTACAGACAGTTGTGACCTGCCATGTGAATGCTGGGAATTGAACCCGGGTCTTTTGGAAGAGCGGCCACCGTTGTTAACTGCTGAGCCATCTCTCCAGATCCAGGATTGGTTTTTTTCAAAAACATTTTGTGTAGATTTATGTGTGGATAAAGATCACCCACTTTTGCTTATGAAAAAATGGTTGCTCTGCTTTTTGTTTAACAAGTATACAGAAAAACCTTCTTTGTCAGAATCTGCTCCTGTGCATGCTCAGTTTGAATTATGAATTCATAGAATGCAACAATATTAATCAATTTGGTAGTAGTTGGCCAAGAGATATGCCTTCCTGACCTTGAGACTGAACCAGAAATTCAGGTATTCTAGGCCAGTGGATAGAGCCACATTGACACCACAAGGCATGTATGTTATAACTAGAAGGAACTGACATATGAACGAAGATGTAAGAATGCAGCTTTCAATAAAGGGAAATGACATTAACCCACATTATGCATGGATTTTATATGTTAATGTCTTATTTGCTCATTTATTCATAATCCCCCAAATTAATAGTTGGCCGTACATTGGTAGTACTTCAATGGACTTGGGCATGGCAGTTAAAATTTTGAAGTTTGGTTCGTGTACATTCTCAGCTGCAGTCATACAAGGTGTGTTGTTTTGTTTAGGGTCCCTTCGGTAGCAGATATCCTTTTTATATTCCATTTAGTGCCACATGTTCTGCATAGTTGCGGTTTCAGTGGCCACTTACACTGGTTCCTAAACTGAGTGCCCAAGTGCTCTGTAGTGGTCCCAAGTATGAAGAGACCAGTGTGGTTCACAGAGAAAACAGCCATGTTCAGATGAACTCTATTCAGCTACGAGAGTGCTGCCGGCCTAGTTCATATTAATTAGTAAGCACTGTACAGAACATCACTGAACAAGTATTCAGATAGCGTAAGGTTAATATATTCATTCATTGGAGTAAGTACTGTGACAAAAGGCTTGTAGGAACCTGTCCCAGCATTTCACCGAGGAGGGAATAGTGGCAATGCTCACCAGTTCAGGGATAGTGGGGATGTTGTAGAGCCTAACTACATGAATGAGGAGCAACTGCAGTGCAGGTAAATGTTCAACAGTGGAGAATTAGTCCATCTTCTTTTGTCTTTTAATTAGCTTAACTAAGACTTAGGCAGAGAGGCTCCAAAGTTACAAAACAAAATTTAGTATGCAGTTTAAAACAATTTTTCTTTAGAAAGGGTACTATTTTGTTTGTCACTTGTCACAGAACTTGCCTGCCTTTTGCTAGTCGAATGAGAACATTACTGTGAAATGATACTGATGCAGAACTTATAATTTGAATGCCATAATGATCTTGTCTTTACTTTACTTTCCCAATGTCATTTGGAAAGGAAAAATGAGATTACATTTAAAATTAAAGCATGGGGAAGGTAAGCCCAAGGAAGACTGGGCAATATAAGGAAAGTTAATATGTGTAGTGTTTGTCTTTCCCCTGACTGTTCTTTATGGAATGGATACTAAGCAACCAATATAAAGTTGATTCATTCATTGTCTGTGAAAACAATAGAAAAAACCCAGCTACTCAGGTAATACTGTGTGTGTGTGTGTGTGTGTGTGTGTGTGTGTGTGTGTGTGTGAAAGAGAGAGCGGTGAGTTGTTTTCATGCATGTATATACCTAAGTGTTCCTGTGCATGTGTGTAAACAGAAGATTATGTTGTTTTGCACAGTATCCTTAAAAGTGAATACTGCTAGCACACAGCAGCAGAGTACAATTGTGTGAGTTGCTGAGTGATTGGTTTCCTCCCGAAAGTATATCAGACTGCACGACAAAACTATTTGTAATTTGTGGTAAGCAACACTGTTTTTTTTCTGAAAATTTATAAATGATATGCTTAGTCTTGTCCCTGGATAATTCTGTTCAGTCTGTAGATTCTTTGATATTTGTCATTGACTGGCAATGATTAATATTTTTGTGCTACTTACCATAATATACACTTTGAATTTATCACAAACCTATTTCAATAGCTAAGATTATGTGTAAGCGGCCGGTGCTTACAGGTTTTCATAGTGATTTGGATGGATATGAAAATCTGAAAGAACAATTTAGATGCTTATTTTATAGCTTTTAGTCACTGGTCTGCCCCTCATCATCAAACATACAGTTAAATAATTAAAATCAGATGTCACTGTAAAGGATTTGCAGTTGCTGCTATTTAGTTATTTTGTCTTTTGGTTTGGTTTCGTTTGGTTTTTCAAGACAGGGTTTCTGTATATCCTTGGCTGTCCTAGACTCACTTTGTAGACAGAATGGCCTCAAACTCACAGAGATCCGCCTGCTTCTGACTCCCCAGAGTACTAGGATTACAGGCATGTGCCACTGTGCCTAGGTATGTTGTCTTTTTTTAAATTTAATTTTATTTTATTTTGTATGTATGAGTGTTTTGTTCCTATACATATCTGTATATAGTATGCCTGTCTGTACCCATATTAGTTAGAAGAGGGTATCAGATGCCCTGAAACTGGAGTTTACAGATGGTTGTGAGGCACTGTGGGTGCTAGAAATCAAATTCTGGTCCTCTGCAAGAGCAACTGCTTTTAATTTGTGAGTCATCTCTGCAGTCCTGGTTATTTTGTCTGTTATTGCTTGATGTTAAAAATATCTTCAGTACCATTAGCAAAATCCTTTGCTTTTTATAGAATAAATGTTGCAAGAAAAGAAAGCCCAATATCTTAATGTTCAATAATAGATTTTTGGAGACATGAAAAAATAGTTTTTCTTGTCATTCTTGTCAATTTCAGGTGACATTTTGAAACATTTATGCATGAAGTTTTATGATACTGTATGAAGTTATGATTAACTTGCTATTCTTTTTCATTGTAGACCCTACATTTTGCAAAGATCAACTCTGCCTCAGACTCAATTGACGCTTCATCTATAGTTCCATACATTGCCAAATAAGGAAATGAAGTTTTTCTCTTGATAGGTTACAGTACTTGTAAGTAAAATTCAGAGTCAGATTTTAAAAAATGGTCTAAAGATTTTACAATAAAATTTACAAAACAGTTTAGGTAGTATCCATAGCAGTATACTATTGAAAATTTTTTATCATTAAATATACCACTTAATTTTTAATATGTTTTTTGTATATTAGTTCTATCAGAGAGTATATAAAAAGCCCTGACTCCATGCCTATGAAGTTATTTAAGTAAATTTAAGGAGTGTTGCAAGTTATTAAATTGAATTTTATTATAACAAAATATTTGATACCTGCAATGTTCTGTTTTAAGAATAAGTATATTTCCAAAGAGAGGGGTTGGATTGATATTTGTATATCTGCAGATGTCAAAAAAAGTTTTCTTTCATCATTAAGTATCTTCATGAGTTTCTTGGCAATTTCTCTATAAGTCTAGAATTGAAGTCCTATCACTAATGATGCTATAGGAACAAGAACAAAAGTGAAGACCTCATTGATTAATCTTTAGTAATTTTTGGCACATTAACCATTCTACTATGGTCTTTAAATGCATTCAGTATTCAAATATGTAAACATGGTCCTCAGCAGTTTGCAGGTTAAAGGCAAATAGAAAAGGGCACACTTTGCCTTGCAGTTTAGAAAATTGCGTATGCATCTTATAAGCAAGTGTGCTCATTTACTATAGTTTCCTGTTGTGAATTTTATGGGAAATTAATAAGTAATGATAGTCTATCAACATGATCATAAAGATAAATTGAATCTTAAGATTGTGGCTCAACTTTTATGACTTTTGAGTAATAATTACTGCAACTGCATATATTCTCTGTATGTCTTATAAGCCAACAAATCCTGAACCAGTACTTTGTACAGTTTTCTACAAGGAAGATAGATACTAATAGGACTTACTACGTTTTTGAAAAGACTGTGATATGGCACTTTCTCAATAATATATCTGCGGTTAATATTTGCTCTTTGTAATACTCAGAGTCATACACTTATTTTAAAAGTTTCATTTTAGTGTTATCTTGAAATTTGAAACGCTGTTAACAAATCCTGGGTGTTTTTTCTGAAACAACTAAAAAGACATGAGAGTAAAGGAGGGACTGGGAAGGAAAGGATAGGGGTGGAGAAAGGGTCATCAGAATTTAAACACATGATAGACATGGCACAGTGACGCTCGCTGATTTGTGTAATTAATAGAATAGTTTTATAAGAATAGTTTTATAATAGTTTACAGTGTATGTATTATAATACTTCTTAAGTGTCCCATCAATTTGAAATAATTTGAACGCTTATGTATTGTGTGCATGTATATATTTAATCCTATCATGATTTTAACAGTTTGTTGAATATAAGTGACCAAATATCTTTTTTTTTTTTTTTTTTAATTTTATGTCTTGAAAAGGGCTAAAGCCAACTCTAGGTTGGCTTGGGCAGGAAAGTGAAAAGAAATGCTGAACTTTACCAGATGTCAACATCTGAAACCCATAACGCAGAAGTGTTTCTCTAGTACACCGGTTAAAGTGCAGACTTGCACACAACTCCTGCTTTCACGAGTCTTTGCACTCATAGAATCAGGAAAGTCATGGCACTCAACCCACTCATTTGCTGGAGACAAAAATATTATCCTGATGGGGCCTCCGGGTGCTGGGAAAACAACAGTAGGCAGAATAATGGGCCATAAACTAGGCTGTTGTGTCATCGATGTGGATGATGACATCCTTCAAAAAACCTGGAATATGAGCGCTTCAGAAAAATTACAGGATGTTGGTGATGAGCGATTTTTAGAAGAGGAAGGAAAAGCAGTGTTAAACTTGTCTGCATTTGGAAGTGTGATTTCCCTCAGTGGGTCCAATCCCATGCATGATGCTACCATGTGGCATCTGAAGAAAAATGGAATTGTTGTATACCTGGATGTGCCTCTGAAAGATATAATGAGTCGTCTGAAGTCAATGAAAATTGATAGGATTGTTGGCCAGAACTCTGGAACATCTCTGACAGACTTACTGAAGCACAGAAGATTGTACTATAAGAAGTGGTATGATGCCCGAGTCTTTTGTGAGACTGGGGCTTCTGCTGAGCAGGTTGCCAACAAAGTGCTTGACGCAGTGAAGAGATACCAAGACGTGGATTCAGAGACATTCATTTCAACAAGACATGTTTGTCCAAAAGGCCATGACAAGAAGCTTCCACCAAAATACTTCAGTGAAGCTGTCATCGAGGGGTTGGCTTCTGATGGTGGCCTCTTTGTTCCTGAGAAGGAGTTTCCCAAACTAAGCTGTGGGGAGTGGAAAAGCCTCATAGGGGCAACCTACATAGAAAGAGCACAGGTACTTCTGGAAAGGTGTATTCACCCTGCAGACATACCTGCCGCCAAATTGGGAGAAATGATTGAAACTGCTTATGGGGACAACTTTGCCTGCTCTAAAATTGCCCCTGTCAGGTACCTTTCCAGCAATCAGTTCATCCTGGAATTGTTCTATGGTCCAACGGGGTCCTTTAAAGACTTGTCTTTACAGCTTATGCCTCATATTTTTACCTACTGTATCCCACCAAGTTGCAATTACATGCTGCTTGTAGCTACTTCAGGAGACACGGGGAGTGCAGTCTTAAATGGGTTTAGCCATCTTAATAAAAATGATAAGCAAAGAATAGCTGTGGCTACATTCTTTCCAGAAAATGGAGTTAGTGATTTTCAGAAAGCACAGATAGTTGGCAGTCAGAGAGAAAATGGATGGGCAGTAGCTGTCAGGTCAGATTTTGATTTTTGCCAGACAGCTATTAAAAAAATATTTAATGATTCTGACTTTACTGGTTTTCTAACTGTGGAATATGGAACAATCTTAAGTTCAGCCAATTCTATAAATTGGGCTCGACTGCTTCCCCAGGTAGTTTATCATGCCTCTGCATATCTTGAGCTTGTTAGCCAAGGGTTTATTTCTTTTGGAAGCCCAGTAGATGTCTGTATTCCCACAGGAAACTTTGGGAACATTTTAGCGGCAGTGTATGCCAAGATGATGGGAATCCCTATTCGAAAATTTATCTGTGCCTCTAATCAGAACCATGTTTTGACTGATTTTATAAAAACTGGACATTATGATTTAAGGGATAGGAAATTAGCACAAACCTTTTCACCATCAATAGATATTCTCAAATCTTCAAACCTGGAGCGACATTTATACTTGATGGCTAACAAAGATGGACAGTTAATGGCAAATTTATTTAATCAGTTAGAGAGTCAGCTTCATTTCCAAATAGAGAAGATATTAGTCGAGAAGCTGCAGCAGGATTTTGTTGCTGACTGGTGTTCTGAGGAAGAGTGCCTAGCAGCCATTAACACTACCTACAACACATCAGGATATATTTTGGATCCACATACTGCTGTTGCAAAAGTGGTTGCAGACAGGATGCAAGACAAAACCTGCCCAGTGATCATATCATCTACAGCTCACTACTCGAAGTTTGCACCTGCTGTCATGCAGGCGCTGAAAATTAAGGAACTCAACCAGACATCATCAAGCCAGCTTTACTTACTGGGCTCATACAATGCATTACCACCTCCTCATGAAGCTTTATTAGAGAGAATGAAACAGCAAGAGAAGATGGATTACCAGGTCTGTGCAGCTGATGTGAGTGTCCTGAAGAGTCATGTGGAAAAACTGATCCAAAATTGGTTCATAAGGAAATCTGAGTAGAGTATTTTTCTTCGTAAGAAGCAATAATAAATATCAAACATTGGTTTGGGTTACAATAGCATTTTGTTTTGTGTAAATGTTTTAAGTGTGCATCTGTTTTAAAATCATCCTTATCTCTGGGACTGCCTATTAAACGTGCAGTACACCACCTCAGGTCCTCCAGAAGAGACAGATGCCACATAGGGCCTGAACCTGTGTTCTCATGCTTTATTCTCCACTCATGGGGGCTTTGGACATACCATTTCCAAATGGAACAAAATATCTGGTATATATAGCATGGCATTTAAAAATATTTAAGCAGTTAAGTAGTGCATCTATAGCCATTTACTGTTTATTGAACAACTAATTTCCTGCTTGAGATAGTTAACTGACACAAAGGAAGTAGTAAAGTCATTAAGGCTAGAGTCATGATCTTTAACCCTCTTCAGATTCTGTTTTGGGCAATAGTTGCTGACATGCACTTCACACTATCCAGTTAGAGAGTTGGTGAAGCATGCACCGTTCTCAGCGTGTCTGTAGTTGGGATGGGGAAGTCTGAACATCAGGCCAACATTTGAATTTAGGATATAGCAATTGACAGAGCTGTGGAGTATGAGACACAGAAATAAAGTCACCTACTTCAAGAGGAAGGTGGTCCAAGATTCTTTAACAAAACTACAGTTGCAGACAGCAGCTCTTCTGTATTGAAGTTGCTTCCTATTTGTCTCACCTTTAACGAACATTTTGAGGAACCTAAACCCACACAAATTAATGCAAATGCTTCATTTCCATTACTGTGTAGTGACAGTGATTTTAACTATGATTTGTGTCTGTATTTTCTGAGTTGCTAGATTAAAGAGTGACTGACTGAAGTGACATGGGCTACTCTCCACCACAAGGTGGCATTCTCCCAGAATTTGCCTTTGCTGATGACATTCTGCTTCTAAAGAAATAATATTAAAAATTAAAATGATGAAAAAATTAATAATTTTAATGGGCAAGAAACAATTTTTTTTGCAAGTCTTAAATTAAGCTAATTACATGTTCATCAGATCCCTGGCTTAGCTTCTAAAATCTAGTTCTAAAGCCTATAATGGAGGCTGGGAATTTCCATGGTAACTTGCTTACCTGGCATGGACAAAACCCTGGGACATGTTTAGCTACAGAGTTTGAGGTCAGCCTAAGATACATGAGATCCTATTAAAAAAATTTAAAAACACCACTACCAACAAAAAACCTGAAGCAGTTTATGATAATGGAGGCTCAAAGCTTTGTGAATACATTCTATCATTTCAGAATATTTGCTTCAGTAGATATGCTTAGAAAATTACCCTGATGTTACTGTGTGTGTTCATGATAATGCATTTTAAAAGATAATGGGATGATGCTGAGTCTTGATTTTCAAACTCAACAACTAACGGAAGAACTCATGAAGTCTAAGTGATGCACAACAATTCATGTGTGAAAAAATGAGAAGCAAGTGATACCGCTTGGTAGGGTAGAATTTAACAGAGAAAGGAATAAGGTGTGTTGGCACCCGCTTCTGGCCCCAGCTCTGAGAAGCTGAGGCAGGAGGATTGTGACCTTGAGACTGGCCTGTGCTATACAGTGAGACTGTCTCTAAATATATAAATGAGCTATAACAGGAAAATACTGCTGTAAAGTAATCAGAGTTCCATAGTGTATGTAAGTCCTGAGGAAGTTTTTGGAAGTCAAGCCGTAGAGAGAAAAAGCTGTGTCTGCTGCTTTGATTGTCATCGTCAGTTTGTTCTATCAGTGTCTAGGTGGTTATCTCCTGTCTTCTTGTGGCCTTTGGTTCCCCATCATCTCTCAGTTCCTCTTTTCTTGTGTGTTTGTTTTGAGACAGGATCTCACTCTGTCGACCTGGCTGTCCTGGAACACACTCTGTAGACCAGACTGCCTACAAACTCATAGAGATTCACTTGCCTCTGCTTCCTGAGTGCTTGGACTAAAGCCCGGCTTCCGTTTCCTCTTGTAAAGGGTAGAGATGCTCACTCTCTTGTGTGATCTAAGTGGCAGTTCTTTCAAGGGTTAATGTCCAGGAGCCTTGTGTTCAGTTTCCTTCAGCTGTGATAATATGCTTCATTCTGATATCTTGCTCTGTTCCTCTTGTGTTCTTTCAACTTTTCCAAGGGAATCTGCCTTCCTGTGGCAGTTAGGTGCTCTTCATAGTTCAGCGTTCCCAGCAAAACCCAAATGGCAGCTTACTACCATCTGTACCCCCGGTTCCTGGGGATATAGTGCTCTCCCCTGGATAATGCATATACCAGGTATGTGTACTGTACATAGGCAAATACACACAAAAAGTTTAAAACATGTTCTAGGGGACATAATGACATACTTGGAATCCTAAGCTTAAAATTTAAGTGAAAGTTAAATAGGCAAAAAGGCTAGAAGGACTTTAGCACAGAGTGTGGAATGTAGTGTTCAGATGATCTGAAACAAAGGTCTGGAGATGAAGCCAGAAAGTCAGGCAAGATCCATGACTTTAAACATTTCTAAAAGCTGTGATGTGACTGAAGGAGTTTAAGTTGAATACTCTATTTCTTTTTTTCTCCATTAGATTTATACAGATTTCTTAAATTCACTTTATAGCCTGATCGCAGCCCCTCTCCCTTCTTTCCTCCCAGTCTCACCCTTACACCTATCCCCTTATCAGAGTAGGGGAGGCCCCCCCAGGGTACCAGCCCACCCTAGTACATCAAGTCACAGCAGAGTAGGCACATCCTCTCCCAATGAGGCCAGACAAGGCAGCCCAGCTATGTGAAAGGGATCCAAAGGCAGGCAACAATTAGACCGCACTCTAATTGTTAGGGGACCCACATGAAGAACAAGCTGTACATCTGCTACATATGTGTAGGGAACCTAGGTCCAGCCCATTCATGCTCTTTGGTTGGTGGTTCAGTCTTCTTGAGACACCATGGGGCCAGGTTAGTTGACTCCATAGGTCTTCTTGTGGTATCTTTGACCCCTGACTCCCTCAATCCTTTCCCCTACTCTTTCACAAGACTCTGAGCTTTAGCTATTGTTTGGCTGTGGGTCTCTGCATCTGTTTCCATCAGCTGTCCTGGAAGTTTAAGTGGAATACCATAGTCCTTTTTTAAAAGATTATTTTAGGAGCAGGAGTTATGGACAGTTGTGAGCTACCATGTGGGAACTGAGAATCAAACCTGGGCCTTCTGCAAGAACAAGTACTCTTAACCACTGAGCCATTGTCCCTGGAAACTTTTTTCTTTTAGAGAGATGTTGGCAGCTGGGTTGAGTTAGAGGAACTAAAATACAGATCAAAGATCAATTAGAAGGCCAGAGCCTGGGTCAAAGCACACATCCTTTCTTCTCTGCCTTTGTCCTTTCTTCATATGCTATTCTGTCCTCCCAGATCTCTTCACCTGGCTTCTTTCCAGGGAGGATCACTTTTCTGTAGTTGTCATATTCCAAAAGCAGAAGTAGAATCTAAAAGGCTCTACAACCATAACATATCCCTGGAAGACACAGAATGTTCCAGAGCATTACTGCACTGCCTACAGAGGTGACAAGTCCAGTTAGATTCAGGGTATACAGAAATAAGTTGCATTTCCTTATGACTGGAGTAGCAAAGTCACACGGTGAAAGAATGTAAACTTGGAGTAATCCATTTGGGCTCTCTTACACAGTTTACCACAGTAATAATAAATGGTCATTTCAAGAGATGGTCATTTACAACAGCAAGACAGTTTCTTGTTCATGATTTGAGAATTCTATCACTAGTAATGTATAGACGACGCTGATTCCTGCACCTCCTGGTGTTTGATCACCTGGCCTTTCTTAAACAAAATTGAGATTCTATCTGTCCTTGGTAAAAACTTGCTGTGCTTATGTCTAGAATATGCATGAGTTTGCTGTTTAATAACCTCCCTTTAACTGCACAAGATGGGCTCCATTGGCAAAGCCTTTGCTATGCAAGGTGAGGACCTGAGTTTACATCCAGAACCTGTGTTCTGTCAGACACAGTGGTACATGCTTATATCCCAGTACTGGAGGCAGAGACAGGTGAGTCCCCAGGTCTTGCTGGACTGCCAGCCTAGAGTACCAAACAATCCAAGGCAGACTGCATCTGAAGAAAGAAACCTGAGTCTGACCTGCCCTTCACATATGTATACCCACCCCCACACATATACACAGGCAAATGAACAAGACTGTACAAATCTCTGTCTATGATTATGTCCATGATTTCAAATGGTTCCAGAGTAGTTTCTGTAGGTACACCTCAATATATTTAATTTCCCCTCTACTAATCTACTCATCACTTTTGGTCATTCATGACATTTGTTGAAGTAGAATTCTTAAAGAGTGGACTTGTAAAATGTGCATGCTATCTCAGTCTTGAGGCTCCCATGACTTTGGTGCAGAACAATGTTCATCCAGGCTTGTTTCCTTGTGTGGAACATAGCTTTTTCCTGTTTTTTTTTTTTTTCTTTCTCTCTCCCTATTGCTTTTTTTTCTTCAGCACTTGCATTGTGTATCTAACTGTTGCTCTCTGAGTGTAATCAGTGCTGAGCAAATGCACACGGGTATGCAGCCATCTGACGGAGTGTGCGCAGCCCACCATAGATTCACAGTCCTGAAGAAAAAGGACTCTTCTCCCAGAAGACTTCATCCCTCTCACCTCATCCATGCTGGAATGTTAACTAGTCCTGTCTGATCCAGAAGACAGTTTTGCAGCAGTCCTTCCTGCCCTTACACTCCTACAAGTCTTCTGGCTCTTACAGTCTTGCCACTTCCTCATCTGTGATGTTTTCTGAGCCTTGGGGTGGGCTATGATATGGATGTCCATTTATGGCTGAGCACTCTACAGTCACTTATTCTCTGCATTTGACAAATTGCTAATCTCTGTTTTAACTGCTTGCCATCCACTGTAAAAAATAAAATAAAATAAAAAAAACTCTGATGAGAAATGAGAGCAGTACTAATCAATGAATTTAAGAGTAGATATTTAAAGGCAGTTTGATGCTATGTCCATTCACCAAAATTATAATAGTGGCTTCTTCCCTGGGCCTATGACCTCCCTAGACTCTCCTCTTC